ATCAAGGGCCTGATATACGCACAATTCAAACAGTTTTGTCCAGACCAGTATTTTATGGGCGCCAGCTGCTCTCTCTCGGCCGCTTTTCGGCTCCATAATCGGCCGGTAACCAGGCGGAATTGCATCATATCCTGACAGAGTCACACTGCTCCCGTTCCTACTGTCTCGGTAACTAGTACATCGGTCTATTCAGCTGCCTCCTCGTGTCGTCCAAAGTCATGAGGGCTGTCAACCTACAGGTCTATCACTCTCCGGGCCAGTCATAGACCGCACTTTCGTCCGGCAGGGCCGGGAAGACCAGTGCTCGTCTGCCCTACTGAACTTAGGGGATAGAGCTTGGCGACAAGAACTAGTATGGCCCAGTAGGTCGGGCCGCCGGAAAATGGCATTCGCCGCCCACTCTTTGCCATCTGCCTGAGTAATTAATCAAATCTGCAAAGACCCCGGCGTCATCGTTTCTCCCGTCCCCCTTTGGGAGTGTCACTAACTTTTGAATATCCTATTTGTGTACCTCTACACACAACGAGAGGGCTGGACCCTGCCCCACATGCAGCTTGTCCTGCTAAGCACGTCAAACGGGTTCACAAGTCATGGCCCTATTTCAAAAGGGTCACCAGAACCACCTATTTTCTCCCTGTCCGCGATAAGATCGAGCTACACACGTACAGGCATGCCTACAATGCTACACGCAAACCGACACACAAGTAGTCAAAGGCTGTGGGAAAGCCGTGACTGCTAAAAACAAATAAAGTTATGGAATTATACTATTATAATCAATCTAGAAGGAGCGATGCATCAGAAACGGGAGACCCGCTGTATCGGAAATATTGGAAATCCCGTTGCAAAAACCTTTTGGTCCGGTGATTTACTGACACACTGGCCAAATCGATATTGACGAAAAGGAAAAAAACTATAAATCATATCCTCCTAGATTGGCAGCAGCTTAACGCTTGGAGCATACAGAACATGGCAGCTAAAACTTGGTCAAAATGAGGGCAGACGATACTAATATTATTTAAAGCCGGTTTCGGTGCCCCGAATTCTGAAAATTTAGCTATGGACAGGGAACTAATAAGATTTGATTTTACTCATGACTTTTCCACTTTTCCTCCAAAAAGTATCCTCACTAAACCTCCGATAAGCCTGCCACCTCGTCTGAATCTCCTCAGCATCCCCAGCGGGGCTCAAATCCAGAACATGAATGTCTAATTATAACTTTCGATTCGTAATAAATAGTGAAGATGTTCTACAGCTTGTTAAATACTGGTGCTGAATAAAGTCTACGTTTTCAAACCAATTTGCCGAAGATTCCTCCATACTTGACGAACACTCTACGAGGGATTAACCTTGCCCCCAAATTTCGATTAGCATGCTGCTACTTCAGAATCGCTTCTGCCCCTCTTGATTGTCCCTCAGGGTGGTGAAGAAGACGCCCGTGTGTACAAATG